TCAAACATTTCTTAAGAAAAAAAAATTATATTTTATCTGTTACTTTCAGTAATTAATTTATACGGGTTTGGTAAAGTTGACTAATTTCGCAAAAAAAATTAGGAAATAAACAAATTATGAATGACTACAAATTATAACACAAACATAAATGTTTAGATGAAGTAGCTTAAATCTCATAACATTATAGATTTATTATATTGACCTTTAACCCGTGCCTGGCTAACAATACAGAAGTTACAATGATGCGGATCACGTGCACTTGTGTTACCGTATTCAATAATATAAAACTGACCTGTCTTGGCTGTGTTTAAGTAGACTAGTATATTGTAAAATACAGTCACATTTCAATTATACATTATATATATGTATATAGATTTTTTGCTATTTTGAATAAGTTCTTCGTTATTTTTCTAAAACAGTAAATAAAGAAGTAAAGCAAACAATTATCTCTTCTAGTTACGCGACCTTTATACTCAGTTGCTGCTTTAACGTGGAGGAGGTGTAACAAAATATTTTTGTTTTTTAGGATTTGTATATAATTTTGAATAAGTATCAGTACCACAGAATTCTACTATAATTTATCAAACATAGTAACTAAGCTGTATTTGGGTCTAAAAAATGTGAAATTTCAAGCAGACTAAAGATACAACCTACCTCACTGAAATCTTGATTTAAAAGAAAGAAATGATGCTAGGCTTAGAAAGGCTTAGGAAACCATTAGGGGGACATTCTGAGCTTCCGATTTGTTATTTATGTCATATATAGAAGTAAGTGTTTATAAGGGAGCATTTCCAAAAATCGAAGTAGGTGAAAGAGTTTCCACAGTGTTTGATTTATTACTTGAGCAATATCTTAGCAAATAGAAAAGATAAGACCCTCTTATTTTATATTCTAGCTTGTTGGTGTCTGTAATTTGAGTTTCTAATTCATATAAAACAAATGACTTAGTATTTTTTATCACAAACATTAATTTGAACCAGTGTTGCATTCAACATACCACGTGACACACAAAAATCGGTTTATCTATGTTTTTATTTATATTTACTTTTAAATTAAGAAATTGAGTAATGTGTAGTTCTAAAATTTGAATTATCTACAGTTTGATACCAAACTTATTGACATAAATTCATGAAATGGTAATTCAATAAAATTTTGAATTTGAATCAACAAACGAGATGACATGGCCTTTGATCCGTGATGTGTATAGAAAGGGTTAAGATGAACAGCCTTTAATTAATATAAGATAATAATGAGAAAACATAATGTTAATGTTTGAGTAGTTGGAATAATCAAAAACACCAATTTTGATTAGTTGACATTTTCATGACATTAATCAATGGAACAGATGCTCATAGATAATTATTTAATCACTGTGCTCTAAATCTAGTTTAGGTAGTGTGCACAGATGTACTGGGCTTGTATTGGAGAAACTTGATGTTAGCTATTACAGAGATATGATGATTATTGCCATTGGTCCGTGTTTCTGAGGTTCATGACGATTTGATGGCACTGATCTCTGTTTTGAATAGTTTAAAAAATTTTCACTTGAATATTTCCTGGTGGGAATAATTTTAATACTTAATTTCACTAGGCTCTATCAATTTTTTTTCTAGGACTAGAACTTGAACCCTTCTGTGACGTGTGCCTTTATTGATATGATGGTTTTACAAGAGATTGCTTGAGACATCAATTAAAAATGTAATTATAAGACAGCTCTCTAGGATTTAAAAACTGAGGGTGACATACCCTTGGCTGATAGATTCTGGGGGTGAATACTTAAATTATCAGTGACAAAATTAGTAAAAACTAATGTATTATCCTCATGTAACAGTTATGTCTTGCTCTCATATTGAAACGTAGACCTTCATTGGTTTCACATTACATTAGTTTTTCTTACATATAGTAGGAGTTAGCTAAATAACAGTTCTGTATATTGTATGACATTACATCATTAGTTTTTGATAGTTATATTCTAGAAGCTTATTCTGCTTCCTTTTTGGCTGTTACTAAAGCTTTAATGTTATTTATTACATTTTGTAGCCAGTTGTGTTTTTTAAAGTGTAAGGTTAATTAAGATGACACTTGTTAGAACAACGTCATGGAGCGTTTTCTTTGTATTACATTTATATTTTTGTAAATGATTCAGGTATTCTTTTATTTTTGTATCTTCATAATCATTAGTTTTTTATGGTAAACTACTGCTAGTGAGATGCAGCTTAAAAGTATTGTGTTGTCATAGATTTGTTACATTCACAAATGCCAGTTTTCACACACTGTGGAGCAACTTAACGAGTTTTCATTGGTCAAAAGATGTGTTAGGGACAATTGGAGAAAAATAAGACAAGTTATACTGATATATTTTTCAAAGAAACAAGCCAACACCTAGTGTTTATATTCCCTAATTAAAGTGTAATATAGTATTTTTCTTCTAATATCATTATTGGTTCAAATGTTATTGCTTTTTAGCTTTTATTCTTATTATTGTAATTTTGTTAGAGATTGTTTAGCATTGTTAGCTTAGTGTATGTGTTTAGAATTAAACGTAATCTTAGCTGGCTGAACTTTGCAAGATATTATTGGGATCCTGGCAGAAAATATCATTAACAATGAAGATATCCAAATTATGAGACAATGCATTCTGATCTGTATAAGTATATTGTTAACTATAGTGATTTCCAGGTTTGTTTGCATACTTTTTAGATAACATGGTTGTACTAATCAGTGTGATAGTCACTCCCTTGACAACTGCTCTATGAGTATAGAAATCAAGCTAATAGTAGTTTCTCATTTCATTAATAGTTGTGTGACAAGATTCTCTACATAGACAGGAAACCACATGATACCCATGAGCTCGGCTATTGTTTATATGGATCAGGCCAAATTATAATACACACTTCATAAATATACCTAGCATCCATCTTAAAATGTAGATGTGTGATATTGGTGGTTGAAAACAGTTCTAAATTGTATTCAGATTACATGTGTGGAAGAACATTGAAGAAATCAGAAAGTCTTCTGAGCACTAAAATAGGTGTTGTTTTTTGTCCTCTTTATGAACCAAAATTTTTAAGCATGATGCAATTTTTGTGTGAAATACATGAGTTTGGGATTATAGTGTACTGTAAATGAGACCCCTGCTTCAATTACAACGTTTGTTAAAGGAAATTATGAATTAACACAGATTTTCTTTTTAAGTTCTTTAATTTTTTTTTTTTTTTTTACTAAAATAAACTTTGTATTAAAATAGATATTGGACTTTTAAGTCCAGTTGGTTTAAGCTATCCCCACCATCCATTGAAGTAAGAACTGAATTCTGGCATTCAGTAGACAATATAGCTACATCTGAAGAACTTGAAACATTTCAGTAGTTGAACAACTATGGGTATTGATTTTTGTTGCTCTGACTTTCTGAAAGTTTATAGAATTTATGTGACATCTTTAGTAACTAGCTGTTGTTAGTACAAAATATTGAGTCAATTTTACAAGTTTATTGAGAATAAAATTATAGTATCCATTGATAATCACTACAAAAACTGTTTTTTTCCTTGGGACAGTGTCTAATATTAGTGTTGTACATTTATAGTTTAGTCTTATTAAAACTGACAATAACAGATAATGGGGGTATGTCTGTATTGACATTTGTAGTGACTTCTGAAATTAGTTTGAGCTGTTGGTTATTCTTAAACATGTTAGGGCACAGAATTGTGTTCTGTTATTGCTTGCATATTAACAAGACTAATTTTTTTGATTAGAAATTATTCAAACTATGAATATTGATTGATAGATTCTCTGTTTTTAGTCGCTTGCACTTGCAAGACCACTTGTTACTGTTTATACTGAAAAAAATGAGCGTTCAGGAGCTTCCGTGGCCCTTCCTGCTGTTTTCAAAGCTCCTATACGTCCAGATGTAGTCAACTTTGTCCATATGAATATGGCCAAAAATAGACGCCATCCATATGCTGTGTCTGAGCAGGCAGGTAAGATTTTTATGGTAATTTTATCTTCCAAACGGTATTTGTTTTTAGTGTGGTAAATGATTAATATGGGATGTTATTTGAAATTTTTCTCTTAAGATAACGTGAGAAAAGAAATAAACATGAGCTGGAGTGAATGTGGTCTTTCAAGTTTGAAAAACCCACAAGGGCTGTAAACAGCTCCTGCCAACAGTCCATGAGGCTGTCAGCAGGCTGCTGTATCTCAGTTCTTTGTTTACAGAATTGGACAGTAAGAGTTAATTTGTATTGACTGAATGGTACTATTTTTTCTTTCAACAAAACAGTTTCACTGGCTAAACTAAGACATTTACAGTGTGTCACTGAACAGTGATGACTTTTGATCAATATGGCATCAACAAAATGGGATCTTTGCTGGCTAAATTAAGATGTTCACAGTGTGCCATTGAATGGAGATGAACTCCAATTAGTAAGGCAGCCCTTGTGATCTTGTCATTCAGAAAGCAGTTCATCAAAAGTCACAACCGAATTTGCTAACACACTTCTTGCTAGTCTTAATTAGCTAATAATTAATATTTGATTTTGTAATTTAAACTTTAATATATTGACTTAGTTTCATAGTTACATATATTTAGTGTCTTTATACAACAATATTGTTCAAATATATCATACTACTATTCATGTAACGTTAATGTGTGGTTTTTTAAGGGAGAACAAATTTGCTGTGTAAAAAATGTTGAACATTTGATTAAAAGTAAACTATGTGCATATCACTAACCAATGACTAGAATTCTGTTGTTTTGTCATATTGTTTGAGTAAATATGTAATTGTGAAAAACTTTTTTTTGTTGTTGTTGTTAAGAATATTTTAAATTGAACTTTGCATTATGATAAAATTACGTTTTCAGAGAGATGATGATTTATGCCATTGGTCCGTGTTTCTGATCATGATGATTTAAATGGCACTGATCTCTTGATGCATTTAGCTCTTAGAAGTTTTGTGATTTTTTTACAAATATGATATTGTGAGGAGATTAATAGGTAATTACTGTAAGTTTCTTAGGAGAGTCTGTAATTTCAAGTTGCAAAGTCTGGTACATCAGTACCATATATCAGAATCATTTTTTAAGCACTGCTTACTAATATGCTAGGTTTTAATTTTGAATAACACTACATTGAAATAATTTGAAATATTAAGGTAATTTACCCTTTTTAAGGTCACCAAACGTCTGCCGAGTCATGGGGTACTGGTCGAGCTGTGGCTCGTATTCCTCGTGTTCGTGGTGGAGGCACACACAGATCTGGTCAGGGTGCTTTTGGCAACATGTGTCGTGGTGGGAGAATGTTTGCTCCAACTAAAACTTGGCGACGATGGCATCGTAAGATCAATATCAATCAGCGACGTTATGCAATCTGTTCTGCTATTGCTGCCACTGGGATCCCAGCCTTAGTAATGTCTAAGGGTATATTTCTTAGTTTTTAGTTTACTCTTGTTACAGATTTTAACATAAAAGAAATAATACAAACTTTTGGTTATAAAAGCAATGTACAATTCTTGTTTTGGATTTATCTTTATTTCATTTTACTTATGTATGTTAATTTCTTTTCTTTTTTTATAACAAAAGTTTTACTGCATTTTGGCTGCAGTAAGTTTCATTTGAATAACAAGATACGTGAAGCAGAGATAGGATGACTTAACGTTTTAATATTGTAAGTGACTTGAAAAGTGGGTCGAGAAAAGGCATCTTTGTTTAGTAGATCAAGAATGGGTCCAGTGTAGTGATCATGTAAATTCTTTCATCTTTAGTTTCATCATTTTAACAATCCCACAGCAGTCACAGTTTTTCACAAGATTATTAAGTAGCTTGTGTAACAGTGCATTTATCATAGATATACTAACATATTTCTGAGCTCTAAAAGCCTTGGTGGCTTCATTAATTGTATGATCAGTTACATATTGGAGAATTCTATATCAGTAGGCGTTAAATCACCTTTATTTGGTTCCAATAGTGTAGCACACAGTATTTGCTGTTGCTGGATTTTTCTTTCAAATATATAGGTTACAATGTCATTAAAAAGTGAAAGCTGTTTGTGGATGGTAGCAATATGCATTTGTTGCAACAGGTAATATGACTTTGGAGAGTGATTAAAGTGATTTACAAGTTTTTGCACCTACTGGTCATCTTTATCTCTGGAAACTTTAAAGGCTGATCAACAGCAAGTTGCAGTGTGTGACTGAAACATGGCAAATGAGGAATTTCAAGCATCTCAATTGCAGCAGTGACGTTTACCCCATTATTTGTTGTAGCAGCAGTTATCCTATAAAACAGTAACTTCCACTCAGCATATCGTTTAGCTCTGGTATGATATTCACACCTGTGTGACTTTCAGGAACTCGTAGGCTGCTATAAGATAACTTTGTAGCTTGAACTGTTGTGCAATGAAATGAACTGTAATAGCACAATATGATTGTTTTGTTCATGGCATCCACATGTCTGTGGTAATAGCATAAGATTCTACTTTACTCCATCAAGCTGCTGTTGGACTCTAGACTTCTCCCGTTGATACAATTCCTGTATCAAATGAAAAGCTATGGTCTTGTGATTTAATAGTGAAATTTGTACTCGGGATAGGGTGAACTTATCTCTGTGCCATATAGTTAAAGAAACCCTTCTAAGTGTAATAAACAGAATTAACATACGACAATGATAGTGAATAATTGTGGTATTGACTGATGTAGAATAAAGACAGTAGTGTGTATAAAAATTGTTTTTAGACTACTCTATAAACAAAACTTTGCTTTTCATATCTATAATTATTCTTTAGATTATGTACTAAAAGGGTACTTTAAAAATTATAGATTTTAAGTTTCTGAATAAATCTTTTCTTATATTTGGATCAGGCCACAAAATTGAGGAAACTCCAGAAGTTCCCCTGGTGGTGAGTGACAAAATTCAAGAGTATAATAAAACTAAACAGGCAGTTCAGTTTTTGAGAAAATTGAAGGTGTGGAATGATATACAAAAGGTGAGTAATGTAACAAAATTATTTAATTTCTGTGTATTTTTGATTATATAAAAATAGAATATTCTCGGTTTTGATACTGTTTTGGGTTTTGAAAAATAAAGCTGATTTGTGTGAATTTCAAAAATATTTAAATAACATGCTTGTGTCAAATTTACAGTTGAAGAGTAAAATGAAACCTACCAGTGTACCATTGTCACCAGATGTTAGAGTCTAAAACATAGAAGTTGAGATTTCATCATTTCAGAAAAATGATTGATTGATTACCCCTTTTTTTTCTTCTCGTTATGCCAATGATTAATAGAAATATAATGACGCATGCCATTTGGTCCGTGTTTCTGATTAGCAAATGATTTAATTTTTGGCTCTGATTTCTATTATAACATTGTAAATTTACGAGTGGTTTGTAACGGAAGGTGGTTATAGTATGTCTGCTCTGTTATTGTAGGTTTATAAATCAAAAAGATTCCGTGCAGGAAAAGGAAAGATGAGGAACCGACGCCGTATTCAACGTCTTGGTCCAGTAATTATTTATTGCTCGGATAATGGGCTGACTCGAGCCTTTAGAAATATTCCAGGTTTGTATGCTGTATTATCTCTGAAGTTTAGCTCAATCATTTTGATTGATCTAGTAACCACCATGTTGTGCCCATGAGCATATCTTTTAATACATTATCTTTATTAAATATTTTCTGTGAATATATGAAGTCTTTATTGGGTA